TTCAAAATCATTTTATAGCTCTTGAATACTGCTTGGAAAGAATAGATTTAATTTAAGCTAGACAAACTAAATTTCTGAAAGGAATTTTGGGACATTTTCAAAGTGATTGGAAGCATCTTTTTTATATCTGATTTAACTTCAAAAGATGAAACGGCTTTCCTTTCCCGTAATTTATATTCTATGAGCAATAATATGAGGCGCAATCATATCATAAAGTAAGAATCTACATTATATTCACATTTTTTAAAAACTCTAGAAAAGCCACAATTCAGAACTAGTCTACCTAAAGAGTCTCTTACTCAAAATCTTTCCTAGTCACTTAGTCCATGCACTTCCTATTTGTTTCTTAATTTCTGTGATTTTTTGTTTTTTCCTTGTTTGTTTTTTTGCATTTTCTTTTTTTATTGAGTTCATAATAGTTTACATCAATGTGAGATTTCAGTTGTACCTTCTTTCTTGACTGTCACCAAATAAGTGCTCCCCTTCACCCCCTGTGCCCACCCCCACCCCCCTTCCCCTGGTAACCACTGAACTGTTTTCTTTGTCCATGTGTTTGTCCATATTCCACGTATGAGTGAAACCACCTGGTGTTTGTCTTTCTCAGTCTGGATTATTTTGCTTAGCATAATTCCCTCCAGGTCCTTCCATGTTGTTGCAAATGGGATGAATTTGTCTTTTTTACGGCTGAGTGCTATTCAATTGTGTATATACCACATCTTCTTTATCCAATCATCAGTCAATGGGTACTTGGCTTGTTTCCGCGACTTTGCTATTGTGTTAATTCCTGTGATATTTTCCGCCCTCCTTGCTATGAAGGGATTTGTCTCAACATGGGTGCCACTTCCGAAGATGTACCCTCCTGCAGAGATCATGTCTTATCCACTGCGTCTCTCTCACACCCAGCACTGGGCTTTGACCATAGCTGGCCTTCAACAACAATTATAAATCAAACCATGTTTCTGCTTTAGGTGAAAACAGATGACATGAAGTTCAAGCAACTCTTGTCCATAATTACAACTCATAACCCTAGATATGATGGAACATACACGGGACCAGGGACCATCAGGAGCTCTGCTACTGACCAGCTCTATAATCTTGAATAAAGCAAAAATCATCGAGGCCATAAATTTTTAGAATCAGGAACTTTGTACCATGTTTTCCCTGACACCCAGCATTTGATATCATTTACCACCTTAGCCACCATGCACCTGTATGCAAAACCCTCACATTATGGTGACATACGGATCAGCTTTAAATGAATGCTAAAATTACAGGCTATCATTTCCTCACAGGCGTCCCCCTATTCTATGGAAGAGGCGGACCTACAAAGGCATACCACAAAAACTGGTCATTTGAAGCTTGGCTAATCAGGGTTCTTCTCATGAGCTTTTAAAGTAAAAAGCAGGCACAGAAACTCTGGTTTCTATCAGGAATGTTCCATTCATGCCCCTACAGTTCCATATAAACAGTAAGGTGACAAACAATTTTCCAAAATCAGGTCCAAAGGAGGGGAAAAACAGCTCAGGATGACTACAAGAAACAAAAATAGGTTCCGTTGTAACTATTTAGGTCAGAGACAGGGTGAAAGGTGCCTTTTTTAGAGTCAAGAATTAGACACACAACAAATAAACTGGCCCCACTGTATAGCTGTCCAATAGAACTTTCTGTGGTGGTGGAAATGTTCTACATCTGCACTGTCCAGTACCGTAGCCACAAGCACAGTGTGATGGCTGAGCACTTGAAATGTGGCTCATGTGACTGAGGAACTGAATTTTACATTTTATTTCATTTTAATTAATCTAAATTTAAATGGCCAAGTGTGGCTAGTGGCTACCATATTGGACAGTGCAACTCTAGATTCTGCCTGTGGTTCCTGACCAGAGACGACCCCTCCAGCCCAGGCAACGACGGCTTCACCTGGAGATGCTTTTGGTTGTCACACTGGAGGGAGGGATTGCTACTGGCATCTAGTGGGTAGAGGCCAGGGACGCTGGTAAACACCCTACAATGCACAGGATAGCCCCCCAACAGAGAATTATCCAGCCCCAAATGTCAGTATGCTGAGTTTGAGACACCTTGCTCTACGTTTACTCAAGGTTGGAATTAAAGTAGATGCAAAACAAACCGCAACACACCTTGTCCAAACTTAACCCCCAGGAAGAATGAGGTTTTCCAAGCAATAGGAAAAGGTGTGGGCTGGTCTACAAGTTTAAAGTAGCAGGTTTTTACTAAAAAGTGTATGGAGATGTGTTGAATAACTTATTAAGATCTTCAGCATCAGAGAAATGATTTCCTGCGACATTTTTAACTTGACTGTTAACATAAGTAAACGCTGTGAAACTATGCTACGGGGCTTGTTCCTTAAGAGGTGGACACGCAGTACTGGGGGGCTGGGGCTCCCACTCCCACTCTTCTGGTTTGAATTCCTTGACCCTTTAACTGACCTGTCTGGTTTCTTGAGATGTCACTAATTTCAGGTACAAGAAAACGGATACTACTGTGAAAGAAAAGCAAATCAAGACAAGACAATGACTCTGCCCTCGCAGGTCCACACGTCTACATAGGACCTAAAGAAAAGGCAAGGGTAGGGAATTCTATTTGGACCAAAGGAAATGCACTGAGTGATTCTACTAAACGATGATAGCAAACTACATTTCAGAGTGAGAGCGATTACTTGAAATTTAAGAGGCTGGGTATCAAATAACATCGTGGTTTCTGTAGGCAGTATAAATTATGCAAGGATCAGTTTAAATAGGATCATTCAGAACTGCTCAAATAGTTCTCAAATTTATATTAGCAATGTCGAATTTAGCCCAGAATAGTCTATTCCTCAAAGAAACGGGAATAATGGACGCAATTCAATGTTTCACTTTGATTCAAACTATTTTTCAGAACACAAGATCCTCAACGTTCATATTATTGCAATGCTTTTTCTTTTCTGCCCATCTAGCACCAACAGAAACTGTTCATTATGACATGTAAGGCCCTCTATTCCTTCAGGGAATACAAAAATAAGACACAGTCTTAGTTCTGAACAACTCACATTCAGAATTTTTACACTGGCCTAAGGCAGAAATTTCCAGCCAACACGTTCCGAATTCCTAAAAGATCACAGCAATTTTTTGTGACTAACCGCAGCCTAAAACTTCAGGGGTACTGACGTTTCAGGACCTCTTCAGCTTTTCGTGTGGAACACTCAAGATCTTTTATCATCAATTAACATTTAGGGAGCAACCACTGTAATCTATTAATCAAGTGTCAGAAAAGTAATACTTAAAACAGGATTCCAACCCACTCTGTTTTACAGATTTGCCTATAAAGAACTATTCTTGGAGGAAAAAACACCCCAGTTCTTTAGGTTTCTAATTGAAATGACACAGAACCCATCCCATCTTCTTACGAAACTGGAAAGGAAACAACACCGAAGGGACATTTTTAGCATCACTTTGACTTTGTATTCAACTACTGGTGTCACACACGTGATCTAGACCAGGGGTTCTCAGCCTCAGCACTGCTGACATCTGGGCAGACAAACAACCTCTGGTATGGGGGGCTGTCCTGTGCACTGCAGGCTGTTGAGCAACATCTCTGGCCTCTACCCACCAGGTGCCAGCAGCCCTTCCCTTCCCCTCTAGTTGTGACTATCAAAAATGTCTCCAGATGTCACCAAATGTCCCCTGGGGAACACAACTGCCCCATGGTTGAGAAATACTTATCTATATTGAAACTCAAAGTACCAAAAAAGGAGACACTGTGCTAATCAAAGGCCTGGAAAGACTTTATTCCTAGCCAGAAAAGCACGCAACATTCGCCACCGAGGCGGTGGAAGAAAAACAGATCACTGTCTTTTCCTGACCGCCTTCCACCCGATGTACGAGAAACAGTCCAGGGCGTAGGCCCTAGCCCTGTGTGTACCTGAAGACATCTGGCTGAACTTGTACAATTACTCCCTTCAACTCTCCAGCCACAACTGAACCAATCTACAGAAGCTGCAGCATTGGAAAATGACAACTATGCTATTTCTGCCGGCTCAAAACGAAAACAAAGCAGTCTTAAAACACTAGCGTTGCTCCTGAATTCCACACGTATGAACAGCAGACTCCCGAGCCTGATCAGGGACAAGGACTTCGACGGAGGGGCAGAATGTCAGGTTCTGAGGGGAGGCACCCGGGAAGAAATCCAAGCACTGGTCCCCATTTACAAGCCCGAAATCCGGGACAATCAGAATCCATTTCGCACGCCAGAGCAGTCAGCCAGGTACACCAGGCTGCTGTTCCCCCAAGGGGTAACCCGAGGAACGCCCTGCGCCCAGGTGGATTTCGGATTGACACCAGGGTCTCCCCTCGCCGCCGCCAAGGGGGAGCCCCAAAGTTGTGGAGCAGCAGCAACCCCCCAAAACGAAATCACAATCCACTGAAGACGCACCCCTTTCTTGCTCTCAGGGGGCTTCACCTGCGATCACAAACTACAGCATCAGTCACGTGGGGAACCGGTCAAACGCGCACATCCCGGTCCCGCCCCCCAGGGCTTCGGACCCGAGGGCTGGAAACCTGGATTTTTTTCACCCCCGGCCCCAGGTGACCCCTAGGCACGCCGAAGTTGGAAAACCACTGCTTTAACACTGCTCTTCCTAACTCGGAGACCGCAGAAAACCTACAGGGCTGCAGCTGGCACCGAAACAACGGGGGCTTCTCTCCAGGAGCTTCTGGGGCCGCAGGTGGCTAGCTCTGTCATCCGAGAGGGCGACCGAGCTCGGGCGGGCCCCGCGGCCAGGCCCGGGCAGAAGCCGGCTCAGCCTCTCCAGGCCCACCGGGACCCGAGACTCCCGCCCCGTGACCGGACCAGGCCCCAGCCGGACGCCCCCGCGGCCAGGCCTCCTCAGGCGGGGCCCGTTAGCGCCCGGCCCCCTCCCCGGTCACAATGGCCGCTCGCGACCGGGAAACAGGGGCGCCGGCGGCGGGGACCCGGGCGGCGACGCCGTCCCCCACCCCGGTACGGACCTTCTCCAGAGACGCGTCCATGGCTGAGGCGGCCGGCGCGGCCCGAGGGAGGTCCGGCGGCCCCGGGCACTACTTCCGCCTCCCGCGCCCGGCCGCCGTTTCCACGCTGGCAGCGCTGACGTCCCCCGCGCCCGCAGACCGCGGGGCGGAGACGAGGAGGAGCTGCCAGGCGGCGCCGCGGGGTGGGCGCTCTGCGGGTCTCCGGGAGGCGGGGCGGGGCCCTCGGAGTGGGCGGGGCCCTCCCGGCTTCCGTACCTGGCCGTCACGCCGGCCAGTCCTAATGGTCCCAGGTGAGGGGGGGGATGGACTGTGGAGCTTCCCCACCGTCTTCTCAGAAGCCTGTCGCAGGCATCAGGGTAGAAATATAATCATCACAAATTATCACTCATGCAGTGAAAGGCTGGAAATACTAGTAACGCACCTGCACTTCCTGGCTTAAGCTTCCAAGTCCCCCCCCCCACTATCAACATCCCTCAGGAATGGAACAGGCCATTCACCACAGAAGGGCGGGGCGAGAGGGACCGCGGCGCACGCGCAGGGTCAACAGTTTCCTTGGTGCTACGGGATTTGCTTGTTTCAGGTTTTGGTCTCTCAAGTGACGGTGCTCTGAAAAGACGCTGATCAGAGCTGAGGTATTTATTTGTCTCAGACCTTACTGCAGAATTCTAGACGGGAAAGACTTGGAGTCAACTGGCCCAGCCTCCTTCTTCGTGTCAAGCCACAATTATGGCTTGTCAGGTGGTAATAATAGTGATAATAATAGATGAGTTGCTGCTCTTCCGTTTTATAGTAAAACAGCCCTTGTGTAGAGATCATTATGATCTCCATTTCACAGGGCCGATCTAGGTATGATCCAGAGCCACGCACCCTGACTGCGGCGCCTGTACACGATGCATACTGCCACCCTAGCTGCTTCCACCCCTGCTGTATGGTCACGGTGTGTTTCTAAGGAATGGGAGCGGGCATGAATTATATTCCTCTAAATGGGGGAAACTGAAATAGATTAGTCTCCCACGGTTACAGTCGGTAAAACAAGTCACCGCTAGGAGACCGATGACGTTACAACCACAAAACCATTCCTTTTCTCTCCTGTTTTGGGCGCATCTCTTCTGAAATCGGTAAATGACTGGGTCACATTTTCAGTGGAGCAATATGTATTTTGAGCCTTCTGACTTGTATTTGGTAAATTGTCCGATTATGTTAATAAAATTACTTTCTACCCAAAGAAGCCTTGTGTGCTGGTTTAGAGTGTACCCTGAGAATTATTTGGATTGTCCAAAGAGCTCTGCAGATGGAAGGAATGATAGATTTATGTCCTCCAAGATCTAAAAATTGAATGTACCTCTGCTTGAGCAAAACATGTCACTTTTTCCAAAGTGTTATGAAAATTTTCAAACGTTTGGAAAACTTGGAAGAATTGTCCAGGAACACCCACGTGCCCACTGCCTGGATTCTACAATGAATATTTACCCCTGTTTGCTTTAGTGCAGTAAATATCCATCTATCTATCCACCAATACATCTTATATTTTGATACATTTCAAAGTTGCAGACATCAGTATATTTCACCCCTGAATACCTCAGCATGGGTATTATTATTACTATTATTATATTTGGTAGGAGAGAAAGGACTTTATTACAGCCTGCTAGCAAGAGGGAAGATGGCCGACTCATGGCTGAACCAACAACCTCCCCAAACAAAGACTACAGGCCAGTTATATGTGGAGTTATTCTCCTGGTGGGGGCGTTGGCTGGTCTCTGCATGGGGGCAGACATCTGGTCCCAGTTCCTGATAGTCCTTTGTTTTACTACATATGCATCAGAGAATGGAGCAAAGCCCCATACGCTGGTCTTTCAATTGTCTTTGATGATGGCTATCAGCATAGACTCTCTGCCTGGGGGTCATCACATTCCTAAGGAACTCAAAAGAACAAAGTTATCACCTTAAAGCAGCTGGGAGGGTTCGCAAAATCTAATCTACAGAGCATGTCTGGGCTAGTTAGTCAGAGGTCATTTAAAGTTACATTATGGTTTCTTTTCTACAATACTGCTTCCTTTATGTGAACCTCGTGTTGAGCCGGTATCAATTCCCCGCTGTCAGTTATACCCCCAGCATAATCATATGCTGGTGTAGGGAATAGGGCCGTCGTGTTCAGTCTGGCTACTTCCTGCTGAATCAGGGCAATGTGAGGGGGTGATGGCATGGAAGAGTTACCCTCTTCTTAAAATGGGCTGGGGGGTTTTCTAAGAGGGAGCTGTCGTGCTGTAAACCTAGAAGCCTTGGTGGTTAAGGGAGATATACGTTTTATTCCCAATTTAATGACTAAGCATAACAGTAGACCTATTAAAACTAAGGTGAGGCCCCCTTTTATCATACCCACAAAGATGGATTGGATCCCAGCTGGTATCCAAGAGAAAAGGTTAGTAAACCAGTCACCTAAATATGATAAGAAAGGGGTTTGATGTTTACAGGCGTTTGTATCCAGGTGGCTTGTTCCCTGATTTTACTAATGCTGGTTTGTACTTGAGAAGTATTGATGTATGTGCAGCAGGTGGGCTCCCAAAGTTAGACCTATATTGTGTGAGCAAGTAACCATGTATTTAGTAAGAAGTGTTTCTAGAGAGACAAAAAGAAAACAAGGTTAATGGTGGGAGCGAATTATAAACCAGCTTCGGAGTCCAGGCAGCAGCCAGTCAAAAAGATTTCCAGATATCAGAGTCGAAGCACGTTTTGCGGATAGAAGTGCCTCTGATGATGTCATCAGACGTTCAGATCCCTTTCTGAGTGGCATGCACAGCAGATGTGAATCTCTCTCAAGTTTCTATCAAGTCCTCCAGCCTCAGTTTGCAAGACTTCAGGAAAAGGGGCAGGTTCTGTTCTCAGTGATTCTGAATGAAAATTATGGAAAAGATTGAAAATGTTAGTTTGGAGGTTTGTAGCCAGATATTTCGGCAGACTAGAAGAATTCACGATCCAGTCCAGTTAACAGATATAACAAAAACCTCAAAGACAATTAACAGAACTAGGATCTAATATCCATGAATGTGTACTACAGCTTCTACTGAAACATAATTTTTCTCTCTAAAATCACCCTCATCTTTTATAAAAGATAGCCAAATTAAGATTAACTGGTTTGCAAAATAAGTCTAGTCTCAATAAAACTTGGTCCAATTATTTACATAAGTATAGCAAGAATAGCAATTGATCATAGAGGCTCTTTTAAATCTGCTTTGCTGGAACTCAGATTGAACTTTAAAGGGCTCTCGACACCAGAAAAGCCAAGCCAAGCACTTGCCATCAGATTTTGCCTGAAATACATACAGATTTGGGTGGATTCCTCTCTTCTCGAGGTCCCCCCAAATATTTGAAGGTTCCAGGTGCCTGTCAGATAAGTCACCTTCCATACTTACCAGGTAGGTTGCTAGGAAACAAGGTACCAGGCCAATATTTCCAAGTGACTTTATTCCAGAAAGTCAACACTTATTCCTCAAAAGCTGTCATCATATCTGAGTCTGTATGTTTCTCTCAAATATGACATTCCAGTCAAAGCCTCAGTAATATAACCAGTGTTTCCAAATGTGTCCTGTTTTAAGGAGAACAGATTCTTATTGAGCTTATGGAAATAACTATATTGCCATGAAAATAACCATATTCACTCACTCACTAAGAGTTTCCAAATTCTGGATGGATCAGGTAGGGAGAAAAAGATAAATGTTTCAGTTCTGCTCACAAAGGTATAATTTTACCAAATTGTTATAAGTCATAGTTAGCATGAGAGAAAAGAGAAAAAGCTTTCCTTAACTCTGAGAAAACAAAACAAAACATCAAAAAGTCAACAATGGGGGCCAGCCCAGTGGTGCAGCGGTTAAGTGTGCACATTTTGCTTTGGCTGCCCAGGGTTCACTGGTTCAGATCCCGGGTGCGGACATGGCACCACTTGGCACACCATGCTGTGGTAGGCGTCCCACATATAAAGTAGAGGAAGATGGGCATGGATGTTAGCTCAGGGCCAGTCTTCCTCAGCAAAAAGAGGAGGATTGGCAGCAGTGAGTTCAGGGCTATTCTTCCTCAAAAAAAAAAAAAAAGAACAATGTTTCACATAAAAGTCATAAAAATTATAATCATACTCATCAGTTCATTCAGTCCTGTGTAATCGATGCTTGACCTTAATCTTGTTAGCAGTTTCATGAAGTGTTTCTCCATTAGAGTTCTGTAATTTCTTAACCATTTCATTTTTTGATCTGAAAGTTTATCAGAAACCTGTACTCTAGAGCAAGTGCCGGAGTCCTTTCCATTAATTTCTCTGAAGATGAAACATGTTTGCAAGAGCATCAGAGCAAAACAATAATTGTCTATAAACAATAAAAGACTCAAAAATGGAAATTCACAAAGAATTTGATTAATTTTGTGACATGCAACACTTTAAAATAACCAGAATTATGGCTGACAACCAGGACAGATCAGAATTTTAGGAATGTTATACAATTTCAAAACACTTATATCAATAACATTTACCCACATAATACCACCTAAGAAAGTTTATCATCACTTATTTGACAAAGCTTCGCATGTAATTTAACATGCCAAGTAAGCCTACTTAGTTTAGTATTTTCCTCCTTGTAGTAAGAATGAGGAAATTTCTTTGAGAAGTCTCAGGGGCCCCCTAAAAATCCTCAGAGAAATTCTCTTCCTTCTTCCAGATCAAAAGAAAGCCTTAATTCAGGACTTGAATATTTTTTTGTGGGGGAAGCGTGTCCAAAATATCAAAAGGTTTTAAAACACTTGTTCAGATCGGAAACAATGCTCACTGTGAAACAACGCTCAGGTATCTATTCAGCAACAACAGAAACAGTCAAGAACAGTTAAAACAGTCAAGAAATCTTAATAGAGAGACCTCAGTCCTTCTGAACATAGGAAATTATTTTAGCAAAACAGATCTTCAGTCTTTTAGGTAGACTTAGAGCAGGCCAAAAGTTCAATAAAATTATCTGTCGAGAGAAAACCAAATTTTAATTTTTGTACCAGCTTATTTTTAACATTAAAACTCATTTACTTAATTGGATTTACTTTAGTCTTAGTCAATTTGACCAGCATAAAACTCCTTTCAGAATTTCTCCTTCACAAACCTTCTACAACTTTCTTTTTACCTTCAAAATTTGTCCCATGCTTTCTTTTTCTTCTCTTCTAGTACTTTCGGACAAATTTATCTTTCTTAA